TTTTTCCACTTCGATGGTTGCCAGGCTTGCAAGATTTTCTTTCACCAGTTATGTTTGCCCAAAAGATGTGGTCAATGAATATCTGCCAATCCACTAATTTGATTTGACTCAGAAGTTTGCATACATTATTGAAAAAATTTTAATTCCTATTTCAGTATTTCCCATAAGTAATAACTCTTTCTTGGGGGAACAAGAAAAAGTATGGAGGAGGTGAATTTGATCAAAGTGCATTATATGCATGTAGGGAAATATCACAAGTAAACCCCTTTGTACAACTAATATATGTGAAAAAAGAATGAATGTATCTTTACGTAGATTTTCTTCCCAAACTGAAGATTGAGCAAAGTAGTTTCTTTGTTTTTCCAAATGCCTGCTTCAGTTTGAAAATTGTTGTTCTGAATAATTGTATTCTTTCTTATTAACCAGAGAAACGTAAACTCTCCCATTCATAGCAAATTAAAAACAGGAAGCTGACCAGAATTCTCTATTTTATAGGTGGTGAAGGGCAGTACTGTTTTTTTATTATCATTATTTTGGGATTGAATTTACGGTCTTGTACTTGCTAAGCAGGTGCTTTACCACTTGAGCCACACCCCCAGTCCCTTTACTTTCAGTTGTTTTTCAGGTAGGGTCTTAAGTTAGTTGCCTAGGTTGTCCTGAACTGCAGTCCTCCTAATTCAGCTTCTTGCATAGCTAGGATGACAATTGCACATCACCGCACCCAACTTTTTTCATTGAGATGAGGGTCTCACTAACTTTTGGCCAAGGTGGCCTCAAACCTCCTCCTGATCTCTGCCTCCCAAATAGCTGTGATTATAGGTATGAACCATCTCACCTGGCTTCCAGATACCTTTTTGAGAATTTTTGTTTCCTTCCCCTACAATCTAAAGCAAGATTTAAAAAAAAAGATTGGGCATAAAGTGGTAGTTGAGTGTTAAATTTTTTTACTTTTTTTTTTTTGGCAGTGCTGAGGTTTGAACTCAGTGCTTTGCGCCTGTGAGATAGGTACTCTACCTTTTGAGCTATCCCTCTAGCCCTTACTGATGGTTATTTTAGAGATAAGTTCCCACTTTTTGCCCAGGTTGGCCTGGACTATGATCCTACCCATCTCAGCCTCCCTCACAGCTTGGGATGACAGGCATGGCCACTGTGCCCAGCTATTGTTTGAGATGGACTCTCATGAATTTTTTTCCTGGGCTGGCCTTGAATTGTGATTCTCCTGGTCTCAGCCTCCCAAGTGGCTAAGATTACAGGCATGAGCCACCAGCACCCAACTTACCTTTTTGTTTTGTTTTTTGGCAAGCTAATTTTGATATCATATAATAATAAAAAAATTCTGTACTAAAGTACTTCTGTTGAAATTATGGAACATTTACAGAGACTGCCAAGATGTGTTTTGAATTTGAAATATTATACAAAAAGTAAAGCAGATCTATGCATTTTTGTGAACTGTCAAAAAAGATGAAATATTTTGGGCTGAATCCTGACCATGTGCTATGTATCTGGCAGGTATAATCAACTACTCTTAAAGAATGGGTCAAAGTTTACAAAACATCATTATCTTTTATTGGATCCTGCATGCCCTTTACAATCTCTTTCTCAAGTGTGTTAAAATGAATATATTACCATAATATGTCTGAAATAGTCTTCTCAAATATCACACCATGAAAAATATTGGATTACAACAGTGAGAAACCTAAGGGCATAGATACAGCAGTCCGTGTAGAATAGATTAAAAACACTCCCATGTTCCAAGCAGAAAAAAAACCATCTGTGTAACAGAGTAAAAGCATGTTACAAAATGGGATTCAATTAATGAGCTGGGCTAGAGTATTTAATTCTGACATTGTCTTAGCTCTTTGCCAGGACTGTTTGACAAATGGGTATCCCCTGAGGGCTCCTACATTTGTCTTATTTTGCAAACCAGTCAATTCATTAATGGAGTTGAGGAAGAACACAGTTTGAGGCTGAAGTCTTGTGTGTTTTGATTATGTTTCTTTGACTTTTCAGTTTAACAAATGAAGTTTAAATGCTTTCATGTTTAAACAATTTTTGTTCTTCCTTTTCAGTGGCTCCACCCACAAGGTTAAGGTATAATGTATTATCTCACGACAGTATACAGATTTCATGGAAGGCTCCAAGAGGGAAATTTGGTGGATATAAACTTCTTGTAACTCCAGCTTCAGGTAAAAAGCAATTAATTATGTTTTCTAGAGCATTAGCAACTTTTTATATATAGATAATTAAAAACATGTTTACTGAGTGTTGACTTAGGATCATTTGAAAATGTTTTGTTTCATTTAATCTTTTGAGCTTGACATCTTACCCTGTAATCAAGGAAATAATGTTCCCCAAAGTGTAAAGTATGACTCTTGGACTCACTGTAATTAGTTTTCTTCAGACCAAATTTCTAGAGTGATAAAGTCCTACTACATATGTTTTGATATGGAAAAAACTTTTGGTCCATTGACACTTATAATATAATAACTATAAATAAATATGATAAATAATATAAATATAAAAAAAGTGTGGATGTCCAATAGATGAGACTACTTAAATCAATTCTAATGAATGAACTTGATAGAATATTATTCAGTAATTGTACATTTTATTTATAAAGGCAAAAGAGACATTGCAAAATAAGTGATAAACCACACAAGAAAAACAAGCTGAACATTTTTATTGATCATGAATACAAAGTAGTTATGTAAACATTCTAGTTAAATTCTCATCGAATTTTTCACTCATATTTTATGCTTCTATTACACAAATATGATAAACTAAAACAAGGTAGGGCAATTGCCTGGGTGTCATGAAGACAAAGATAGAAGAAATAGCTGGATTTCTTGAGTTCAAGTCCTGGTTTGATCATTTATAAGCAGCGTGATCCAGGGATGCTATTTAACCTTTCAGTGCTCAGCCTCCTATTCTGTAGAATGTGTAAAATATCAGTGCCTTCCTGATGGAGGCTTTATGAGCTGTGGGGACCTGTGACGTTGGCATTACCCTAAAGCTTATAAATACAAAATACTAGGTGCCACCTCCAAAGTCCTGAGCCAATGTCTAAACAGGTAATCTCTACACATATTAAGCTTAAGAGGCACTGGCTGTGAGGGCTAAATGACTTAATGAAAATGAAACACTTAGACCAGCAACTGCCTTAGTAAATGTTAGGTAAATGTTATTGCTGATTATTCTCCAGATGCTCTCTAGTACTTCTCTCACATCCCATTTCTTCTACAAGGATCTGCTCTCACATACTCACAAGTAGTCAATAATAACATATTCCTGTGTTTATATAAATACTGGTTTAGACAGAGCTTAAAGCATTTTTATTACAGGATTCTCAAAGCTTTCAGTGTAATAGTATGCCTCTCTAAAATAGACTGTAGTATACAGTTTTCTTTTCTTTTTTGGAAGTACGCAGGTTTGAACTCAGGGCCTCGCACTTGTTAGGAGGAGGAATTCTACCACTTGAGCCTTTATTGCTTTGGTTATTTTTTCAAGTAAGATCTCACAAGTTTTGCCTAGAGCCAGCCTCAGGCAACAATCCTCCTACCCAAATCAGGCAGCGATCCTCCTACCCAAATCTCTGCGTAGTGCTTACTGATTGAGATGAGGGCTCACTAACATTTTGCCTGGGCTGACCTTAAACTTGAATCTTCCCTATCTCTGCCTCCAGAGTAGCTAGGATTACAAGTGTGAGCCACTGTACCTGGCCTTTCACAGGGTTTTCTGAGGAAATTTCTTTTTTAGTGAAGCATACATTATGAACGATTTACTTGATGTACCTTACAGCATTTGAGTTTTAAATGAAGAAGAAATTTGTGAAAGCAGATTTAACATCTTGGATACAAATGCATTTAAGGAAATGTGTTTTGGCCAGAGAAAAGTTCAGTTTTGCCCTCAAGTAGCAGGCAGCAGTGATAATAGCAACAAAAACTTCGGCCCTAATAACACTGATCTTATTAGAATATAACTAAATATTATAATCTGTGTTATATTTGATTGATTCAGCAAATTTCAGACCCCTCTTGTGATTACTGTTAGAGTGACAGAAGTTTTAAATTAATTTCCTTTTTCTTCAATGCATTAATCACTGCCAGGAATTAGAGAAGAAAGGTATATTTGGAGTTTGGCACAACACTTAGTACTTAACAGCATTTCTAAGAAAGCCTTAGATGTCAGTCTAATTTCATGAAGAGGTAATGAGATTTTGAAGTCTTCCTATGAATCTATTTAGTTTTTAGTTTTTGTGAAACTAACCTTTAAGTAGCCAACGCTGAGTGGTTCCTTCAACATGCTGAGCCAGTGGTGCCCAGATTTAAGATAACTAAATTGCTTGTGTTTCGAGGATGATTTGAGTTACTTCAGAGAGGCCCAGCAAAAATCCCAATGTGGATAATTACATTGAGACTGCTCATATATCCCCCTTCATGTTTAAGTAGAATTCTTTTCCTTGAAGAGAATATCTGATTTGAAAGCCTGCTGCCTTCTAATCTTGTATTACAGTTTTTCTTAGAGTACAAAAGCAATAATGTGTTATGATGAAAGATTTTTGTGAATGTGCTTTTATCTAATTTAGACAGCCATTTGTTATCTACTGCAAAAAGAATACAGCTGAAAATGAGAATGAAAACTATTATAATTAAACACTACACACATATGTACCATAATATGTACATTAAATGTATTTACCTCTTGATGTGTATCAAAGCATTGTGTTGTACACTGTAAATATGTACAGCAAAAATAGAATTAAAAAATGTCTTTGCCTCTTAAAATCTTGGTTGCTGGTTAGTAAAGTTTCTTAATGCACACAGTTAATCATATGCCTTAGAATTGATTTATCTTTCTGTTTTATTATAGGCGGAAAAACCAATCAATTGAATCTCCAGAACACTGCGACTAAAGCAATTATTCAAGGTCTTATGCCAGAGCAGAATTACACAGTTCAAATTATTGCATACAACAAAGACAAAGAAAGCAAGCCTGCTCAAGGCCAGTTCAGAAGTATGTATTTACAGGTCTTACAGTACTACCTGTGGCTCTGTCCCCACATTGGACTTGAGCCTGTGGCATATATCCTAAAGAGTTGAAATCCTAGATTTTTTAGATTTTCAGAACTCTTAGAAGACTATTGGTCCAACCCTCAATGAATCCTCCTATCTCTGTGCCTCCCTTTCCCTACTTTGATGGATTCCTAACTGTTCTTTAAGTTTTAGTTTTCAAATCCCCTACTTGACATTTAACCCTTTCCAATAAATATCAGTTAACATTTGTTAAGGACCTGTGGATGGAGCAGACTACATGACAGGCAGGTTTGTAAATAGCAACATGGTAGATATACTTGGATGCTAAGAGAGGAGTTGCTCTGTTGGCACCAGTAATGGGCTGAGGAGAAGGTGGGTGTAGGAAAGCTCTGGATCTGAAGTAGGTTGTAAATGATATGTTGGAAGATAGAAAAGACAGAAAAATGTCTAAGCAGGGGAGAAAGCTTGGAAACAGAACAATGCAGGCCTGCAAAGTTCTGATGCACAGCTTTTCCTAAAATTGGATTTCAAGCTTGTGCACACAGCCCTGATTCTTCCACCACTCAGGACATTCATTCATTTTTTTTTTAGTTTTAAAAAATATATACTACATACCCACTATGTGCCAAGCCATGTTTTCAGCGCTGGACACATGAGGAATCCTTGCCACTGTGGACTACATAGCCTAGTGACTAAAGACTCTTCCCAGAGGTAGCCCTTCAAGTGTGAAGGACAAAAATTTTTGAATGTGAATACAAACAGAAGAAGCCTGTCCTGGTTAACTTTTTTGTTACTTCATTGTTTTCTCTCAGTGTGGAGATCTAACCCAGGGCCCTTTACATGCTAGGCAAGCACTTCACTATTATACTACATCCCTGATCCTGTTACTTCATTTTTAAAGTAGAGTCCTAAAAAATTAGCTAGCATTTGTTGCCCTCAATGCAGAGAAACTAAAGCAGATACCTTAAAAGCAACTGAGGCCAATAGGTAAAGGGGACCAGGAACTAGAGAAAAGGTTAAATCAAAAAGAATTAACCTAGAAGGTAACACCACACACAGGAAATTAATGTGAGTCAACTCCCTGTATAGCTATCCTTATCTCAACCAGTAAAAACCCTTGTTCCTTCCTATTATTGCTTATACTGTCTCTACAACAAAATTAGAAATAAGGGCAAAATAGTTTCTGCCGGGTATGGGGTGGGGAGGGAGAGGGCGGAGTGGGTGGTAAGGGAGGGGGTGGGGGCAGGGGAGAGAAATGGCCCAAGCATTGTATGCACATATGAATAATAAAACAATAAAAATTTTAAAAAAAGGAATAAAAATGGAGTAACAAAAGAGGAAAAAAAATAATAAAGTAGAGTCCTTTAAAAACTAAACTTATTATAAGGGGAAATTTGAGACATAATATCAAAAATCTACTGTAGAGTGAACCCCTAAGCGTCGATCGTCATCTGGCCGTAGCAGTAACCACTTGTGACCAGTCTCGTTTCATCTACACCACAGCACCTCCTTTGCTTATTCTTTTGAGGCAAATCTTAGATATTATTTCAAGTAGATTTTTCTTATTTTAAACAATAACTGCTCCAATCCTGCCATAAGATTAATCTACAAATCTGGGAGACCATGGATTCTGGAACTTTATATGTAGCAATGTTCTATCTGGATTTTCTATACCTTCTCTTTTTCTTCTTCCTCTGTAATGTTTCATCAGACATATTTTGTGAGCTTAAAAAATTAAAATCAAGGACAACATTGTTAACCTGCTGCCTCTTGAAACTTCTGAACAAAGACATTTGGTAAGTCTGTTTGTCAGGAGAACATACAGATGTTGTATATACGTTTTACATTCTCCCGAGACTCACATTGTCTGGAAGCCCTGGAAAAGGGGTTCATGTGGTTTTTAGTACAAATCATCCCTCTTTATACTTGTATGGTTATTGCACTTCAGTCTTTGGCTTCCTACGTCCTTATATAAGTTACTGAAATAATTCCTCTGAAAGTCTCTGAGAAGCAGTAAAAGGGAAAAGATGAAACCATTCATTTCACTTTAAGCTGAAGGTTTTGTGATTGATTATTTGAAATGTTCCACAGACTGAGCAGCAGAAGAAACACAGGGGCCCTTTAAAAGCTTTTGCAGTAGCTACTTATACAAAACACATGAAAGGACGTTCATCTGTTTTCACTAGCTTAGCTCCTGTGTTAGTGAAATAGTCTAACTGGTTAGTGGATAAATTATATGTAAGCATACCTTATTTTTAGTTATGTTATTATTGTTGGTAGGATAGAGGGATTTGTTCCACTCAAATAGCTATTTCTTAGAATAAATTTAAAATAACTTTTCATGATTTGCATTCCCATTTTGGGTTTCAGTTATATTCTTGTTCCCTGTAAGACAGAGCTTAAAGCCTGGTCTTCCTGCTTGGAAAACTTTCACAGTTGGATTCAGGCAGGAAAATGATGATCAAGGCAAAGTTTTGTGGATTTGGATTTTTTTTTTGAACTTGCTCTTGCTAGGTAAGCACTCTACCACTTGAGCCACACCTCCAACCAGATTTGGATTCTTTTTGAGAGTATTTTTTTGAAACAAAGGAAAACAGAATGACTTGCCCAATATGCTGGATATTATGATTCTAAATTTGCCATAAGCAACTCAATCACTTTCAGCCTCATTTCTTTATCTGCAAATAGGGGTGATGGCCTGGGCCTATATTATACAGATTAATTTACTCACATCACAGTGATTGTGAGTAACACTACTTTGTTGGTGACAGTCTGATTTCTATTCTTTTTCTTTTTCTTGGAGGTACTGGGGTTTGAACTCAGAACCTCAAACTTATTAGGCAGGTGCTCTATCACTTGAGCCAAGCCCTTAGCCCCTCTTTTCTTTCTTAAATCATAGTCTCATTGTGGAGGCCAGGCTGGCCTCAGACTTGTCATCGTCCTGCCTCAGCCTCCTGAAGACTGGGATTACAGGAATGTTTCACCATGTGTAGCACACAGTCTGTTTTCTAACTGGTTTTGTCCCTACATGAAGGTAACTGAGCAGCTTGGTGTGACATATCTATTATACTTTCTATCATGGCCCAACTTTCAAAATGACTATTTTGTTTTCTTTTTCATCCATAAGTTGATGCTGTGGTCTATTTTGGCAAACTTTCTTTTCAGCCACCATGTTGGCTCTTTAGCCTGATGTTCTGCTCAAGAAGAGAAAGAAATCAGGAAAACAATCCCCTTCAAAATAGCATCAGAAAGTTAAAATACCTAGAAACCTAACGAAGGAGATGAAAGACCTCTACAATGAAAATACAGAAGAAAGAAACTAAAGATGGCATTAGAAGACTGAGAACCTCCTATGTGCATGTATTGGCTACACTACCAAGAGCAATCTACAGATTCAGTGCAATCCCTATCCAAATTCCAATTCATTTTTCACAGAAATCAATCCTAAAGTTCACACAGAAGCACAAAAGATCTCAAATAGCGAAAGCGATCCTGAGAAAAAAAGAGCAATCAGGTATCATAATACCTGACTTCAAATTGTACTACAGAGGCATAGTATCAAAACCAATATGGTACTGACACAAAAACAGACATGTAGACCAATGGAATAGAATAGAAGATCAAGAAATAAGTCCACACAGCTACAGACATCTGAATTTTGACAAGGGCACCAAAAACCTATGTTGGAGATGAAACAGTTTCTTCAACAAATGGTGTTGGGAAAACTTGATATGCACATGTAACAGACTGAACCTAGATTCTAACCCTCATCTTGCATAAAAATCAATTGAAAAAGAATCAAAGATCTTAATGAAACTTTGAACCTGCTGGAGGAAAGCATAGGGGAAAATCTCCAAGATACAGGCATAGGTAATGCTTTTCTGGATAAAACCCCAATTGCTCAGGAAAAAAGAATAAGAATTGACAAATGAAATTGCATCAGATTAAAAGACTTCTGCACAGCAGAGGAAACAATTTCCAGAATCAAAAGAAAGCCTACAGAATGGGAGAAAATCTTTGCTAGTTACTCCTTGGATAAAGGATTAATGTCCAGAATAGAAAAAGAGGTCAAAAAATTAAGCATCAAAACTACATAGAATCCAATTAACAAATGGGCAAATGAATTGAACAGTTTTCAAAAGAAGAAGCATAAGTGAGTAAGAAACACAGGAAGAAATGCAAATCAAGACAACAGCACTGAGATTCCATCTCGCCCCGGGCGGATGCTGTCATCAAGAGAATAACTCTGCTGGTGAGAATGGCAGGTGGAGGTGGAAACCCTTATACACTGTTAGTGGGGTCATAAATTAATGCAGCCACTATGGAAAACAGCATGGAAGGTCCTCAGAAAAACTTAAAATAGAACTACCATGTGATCCTGCTATACCAGTCCTGGGCGTTCTGAAGGAGTGTGAGTCAATATACAGTGGAGACACCTGCACTCCTATGTTTATAACAGCACTGTTCATAATAGCCAAGCTATGGAATCAGCGTAGGTGCCCATCAACCAATGAATACATAAAAAACAAACAAACAAACAAACCACAAGAGTATTATTCAGCCATAAAGAAGAATAAAATTCATTCTGGAAATGAATGGAACTAGAGATATCATGTTAAGCAAAATAAACCAGATTGAGAAAAACAAATATCACATACTTTTTAAATCATATGTGGAATCTTAGTCCTTACAGGGACTTTTAGGGAGTGGATACCAGCAGGAGAGGGGATGTGAAAGGAAAGGGTGAATATAATATATATATAAGAAAATAGAATAATGAAACTTGTTAAAGACATTTTTAAGAGGGAGGAGATGAAGAAGAGTCATGGAAGGGTGAATTTGATCAAAGTGCACTGTATGCACATAGGAAAATAACACATGAAACCCCTTTGTACAACTCATATATGCTAATTAAAATGTAAAAGATCAAATATTTTATCCAACTGAAACATCTTAATGAATATTGTTGCACATTAACCTTCCAGTGACTACATATGAACATGTCAGTTCTTTTATTTTACTGAGTATAATTGAAAAATAAAAATCGCATTTATCGAAAAAAAAAGGATGATTTGTTGATCTTTGCCTACCACCTCTTGCCCGTCTGACTTAAATATTACCTTTTCAGTAGAGTTTCTCCAGATCTCCATTTTTTGGAATTATTTATATTCTTCTCTCCCAAATCTACTTCTACCTTCAGCATTCCTCAGCACATTTTTTTTCATATTAAAGTAGCATACATATTTTATTTTAGAAGATGTAAGCAATCTGAGGCCTTGGGCCATGAGTGGGTGGGATTGAAGATGCAGATTTGGAAATTATCTGTAGAAGAGATGAGAATTTAACCGTGAGATGATAAAACTATAGGCAGGTGTGCAGAGATGCAAGGCAGCCTTAGTATATGGTCATGTTTCAGGAATGGAAGCAGAACAGGGATCCAAAGAATTACAGTATGAAAGAGATGTCAGCAGGGTAGAAGAAAACCAGGACCATGCCTTTGTAAAAACTGAGAAAAAAAGCTTTTTAAGAAAGGGATGACTCCTAAGTGCTAATGCTTATAAAGAAGCCAGAAAATGAGGTCCAAAAAATGGATGTAAAAAAATTAGAGTATTGAGCCTAACAGGATCCAAGTATTTTATTTAGTACTTTTATCTTAGAATTTAATCTCTGGGTCCCAGAAAACCATTATAGGTTTTAGGACACATACTAGAATTAGAGTGATATGCCCTTGGTAGATGAAACTTGGTTGATGACAAGTCTAAGCCCTTTCAGCAAAGAGATGAAAAGAAAGAGGGCGAGACTATTATAAAGACAGATTGATGGGACTGTATCCTGGAGAGGACAACAGGGATGGTTTGGAGGAAATCATTGCTTCCTCTCTGTAGCCTGCCCTCCAATAAATGTGCTCATTTCCATGAAGTAAATCTATCCTTAAGTGAAATATCTGCCACTGGTTTGCTTCTGCACTTTCACAGAGCACTTTATTTGTTCAGATTTCTATTTTGAGGTAGTCTTGAGTGCCTCCAGCAGCTTAAGCTTCTACACAATGGCAGACAAGCTTCTGTGGCATTTGAAGCAGAAAATGCAATGGAAAGTTAAGCTAGTGGTGTGAGTTTGCATGAGGGTATTAAGTGCCAAAGGTCAGTCCTTACTAAATGGATAAAGAAACACTATATTAACATCTGTTAATATAGAAACATTCTGTAACATTTGGGAGGAAGTTCATATGGGTTTCTCTACCTTCTATTGCAGATAGAACAATCTAAAATAAGAATTAAATGTCTCAGTGTAATGTCTTTGTAGTGTAGGGGCCAACCTTATGGCTTGAATCCTAGGCCAATGCTTGCTGGTTTTCTGAGCCTCCTGTTTTTTCCATTCTCTTGGGTATGACGTGGGAATAATGATGGCGACATTATAGCAATTATGAAGACTTTAGTTTATTTGACACATCTTTTCATAGTTAACACTTAACCAAAGCCTGAAGTGCTTTCCACACCTCATGACAAGGTTGAAAAAAATGATATTTGGGGATGAGTTAAAGCCACTGAGCTAATTTCTATTAATACTTTTAGGGCTTGCAAGGATTTTAGTAAAATTCACTGGGTATTTTCTTTTAGGAATTAACATAACATGTTTCTTCTGTGTTTCTATTTTTCTTCCAGTTAAAGATTTAGAAAAAAGAAAGGACCCAACAAAGCCCAGAGTCAAGGTTGTGGACAAAGGAAATGGCAGTAAACCATCTCCACCAGAAGGTCAGATATTTTTTTGATTAGCTCATTTTGGGATTGGTTGTGTTAATTGCACAGGAAACACACACATGTGTGCCTGTTGGTCCCATCAGAAAAGTAATGTAATCGTCTATGAAAATTGCCTTTGGCTCCTTTCCACTCCTTCCTTCCTCACACGTAAGGGCTGTCAACACTTTGGCGGGCGAGTGACCTTTCTGTTACTTTTTTATGAATGTACAAGCATACACGTGCAGCTTGTCATGTTAAGTTCCTTGTTCTGTGCATTGATTTTTCGCTTTAGGATTGTCCCTTGTCATTGCATGGAGGAGGCAGGATTGCCAGTGGTAACTTGCACGGGCTCCCACATTTGCCTGCCTAAATTCGAAGTCTGCCTTTGTCACAGTTAGGTTTGGTCACCTTAGCTTATACTAGTTATCCAAGTTTCTATGTCTTTGTGCCCTCATCTGTAAAATGTGAAGATTAGGATTTGCCTTGGAGAATTCTTTGGGATAACTTGTGTTAATATATGCAACGTACTTAGAAGGTTGCTCACCCTTGAATAGTGTTAACTTTTTTTGTTGGTCTGCCTCATTTTTTAAAGCTGGTCAGATAGTGTTCTGTGGGACAGACTACTAAAATCTATCAGTTACTCCCCATCAATGGTCACTGAGGCATTTTCTGATTGTTGCTATCACAAACATGGCATAGCAAGCGTATTTCTAACTATGGGACTTCAGGGTTAAAGAATTTGCAAATATAGACTGCCAAATTTATAGATAAATAACTGACTTTATATATATATATATATATATATATATATATATTATTTTTTTTTAAAAATTCCCAATATCTTTACTGCTGAGTGAACATTTATTTAGTCAATAATAAATAGTTTTACCTGTTTTGTGTTGTCTTTAAACAAAATATTTAGTCCCGGTGCTGGTGGCTCCTGAGTAGTGGCTACTGAGGAGGCAAAGATCAGGAGGATCGTGGTTCAAAGCCAGCCTGGGCAAATAGTTTGAGAGACCCTATCTTGAAAATACCTAACACAAAAAGGGTTGGTGGAGTGGCTCAAGGTGTAGGTCCTGAGTTCAAGCCTCAGTACTGCAAAAAAAAAATATTCAGAAGTTTTCTAAATATTTCGGTTAACCCTCTTGTATCATATTGCTGTATTTTTACAAATATTTTCTCCTGGTGTGTTATTTGCCTTACAACTTTTTTCATCATTTTGAGACTTTTTAATAAAGTAAAAAGAAACCCGTGACATATTCGCCACTCTGGCTCCTATGTGTTTCATGGTTTAAAAATTTTTCTTAGTTTATGAAACACTTTCCCATTTTTCTTCTAATGATGCATAATTTTATGTTTATTATAATTTATAATTAAATATGTTAGAGGCAGAAAAATATATTAAGGTAATATAACAAAAATGTTTATCCAGTTTATGATAATAAACATTTTATAATACTGTTGAAACTTACTATTTATCCCTATAGATTCCATTTCCTCTCTTGTAGGAGTTACTCCTACCATGAATTCTGTGTTTATCATTCAGCTATGTGTCTTTATCATTTTACTTCCATATATATATATGTATATACATGAAATACACGTTAATTAAATTAAACCATATTCACTTATATGTTAAAGGTTTTATATACATTTTTATCAGAATGAATTTATACTTTTTCAACTTGTATTTTAAACTCACTGTTAGACCTTTTTGATTTATCTGTGCTGATTTATATAGAGCCAATTCATTTTCTTTGCTGTGCAGCACAAAATTCCATTGGACAAATATATCCCCATGTATTTAATCTTTCTACTCTTGTATTATCAATACTGACTTGGTAAAATATCTTTATTTATGTCTCCTGTGTATGTGGTAGAATTTTTCTAGATTATACTTTAAAATCAAATTATTCAGTTGGGCATATTCATATTTTCATTGATAATCTATAGTATCTTTATGTTTTATATTTGATCTGTATTTCCTTCTCTATTATATTTTCCTTTCCTAATTTCTGGAATTGGATGTTTAGCTAATTAATTTTTAATCATTCTTCTTTTCTGTTACATAAATTTTTAATTCTGTAAATATCCAAGAACTTCTTGAGCTGTATGACTTAGATTCTGATATGTAGTGTTACTATTTTCTAATTTCAACGAGATTTCTTTTTTTAGTCCAGAATTATCTAAAATATGTTATTAATTTCTAAATATATGGAGACTTTAAACATATATATTTGTTACCAATATCTCACTTTATTGTATTGTGGGCAGAGAACATGGTATGTAGAAATATTCTTTGAATTTGCTGAGACATTTTATTACTTAAATGTGGTCAATTTTTTAAAACCATTCACATGTCCTTGAGGAAAATTTCTTTTACTCTCCTTTACTAATGTTTATCCATTGCTATCTGTAACTCTGGTAATTTTCCTTCAAATGATTTTAATGCCAACCTTATTTCATTTAGTTCTCACACAATATATCCATTCTCTGTTCTTTAACTATCACTGTATTTGTGTCCTTGGATTCTAGGTGAAAAATCTTGTAAGGAACATTTAGTGGATTTCTTTTTCTCCTCCTCCTCCCCCACTTCTCCCTCTTGCTCCCCTCTCCTTTTCCCTCTCCCTCTCCTTCTCCTTCTCCTTCATCTTCTTCATTTTTTCTTTCTTTCTTTTTTTGCCACAGTGGGGATTGAACCCAGGGCCTTGATCATGCTAGGCCAGTGCTCTACCATTGAGTGACACCCTCAACCCCCAACTCATTGATTTATGACTTTTCTTTTATGTGTTTCTTTTCATAAAAGAAGGTTTATTAATATTTTTAATGTATGATTTTATAAGAAAAGTTCCCAGTTGAAGTTTGGATTGTCATTTTTTGCCACTCAGTGCTTAGAGAATCTTTGAGATAGACTCCATCTTCTATCTATGGATTAGAGCTTGGCTCTAGCATTTATTGGTTATAACTATATGTTCCTAAACGGTTGTAACTTCTCTATGACATGAATTAAAAGCAAAGAAGTGGATAGTGGAAAATTGAGGGTGATATTTGCATATGTTCTGAGAAATCCTAAGAAATATCAGGAGAAGGAGGGTACATTCAGCAGTTCACATACTTGTTAGAAGACATGTTCATGGAGGGGCCTTTCCTGGGTTCTCTGTCAGGCAGGTGCTGTCTCAAGATGTTTATTGTAATGATGAGGATCTGGGAGAGGATAAATCAGGAGATTTAGGGGAAAAGGTGGCTTCATTTGTAGGTGAGGGCTCCCATGAGATGTGTGCCGGGGCAGTGAGGACTTTGTGAGGGCACTAGATTGTGGGAGAACTGTCTAAAGATGTAAGTTATAAGCATGGTGACTATCCAAGCCAGTATTAAGCCTTCAGGAGGTTGAGTAGGGGAGCATTGGTTGAGACCAATGGAAACAAAAATTCCCTCCTCACTCACATCCTTAATGCAAGACTTAGCATCAGTTCTCTTCCAAGATGTGGTTGTTCCCTGATTAATATTAAACTACGCTGTTCTTTGTTTTCCTTGTAATCTACAATTTTCTGGTATAAGAGTCTACATTAATAGTGGCTCCGATAGAATCAGACATTTTACATATTTCAGAATTCTAGTTTAAATACAGAGAGCTGAGATTCATAACAGAAGTTGTTATGAAGTTAAATAGTTACTTGTGTTTAATCTACTGTACATGTTTCTTCAATAATCCAAAACTAGCTTGCAAACAAAAGTGGTATTTGCCTTTGAGCAGAATATTGGCACATTTGCATGAATTGCTATTCCTCTCTTATCCAAAAAGCTTCCTCTAGTTTTGCATAAGAACGCAGAACCTATTTGAAAAAGATTATGTGACAGATAGGAAAAGTAGCATAGAGTTTCTTTTTTTTTTCTATTAATATTTTTTTCAATTGAGGTCACTGGCCTTCTTTAATTTTTTTAGTTCTCTGCAGTGAGAGAAGGGGTGGGTCCCAGAGCTCCCACTTTTCAGGGGAAAAACATGAGATGACCTATTATTCTTTCCAGAAGTCAGCAAAGTATAGCCCATGGGCCAAGTCTAGTCCTCTGACCATTTTTTTAAAATAAGATTTTACTGGCACACACACTATGCTCATTCCTTACCATATTGTTCATGGCTGTGTTCCCACCATATGAGGGTTTAGTAGTTCCAAGCAAGATCATATGGCCTGTAAAGACTAAAGTATTTTCTATCTTGCCTTTTTCAGAATATGGTTGATGATTCTTGCCTTAGAATGTTAAAAACTTTTGAATCTGTTGAAACAAAATCCTTCACTAAGCTGAATAATTAATTGCTTTTCTGAGGATGCTGGTTTATTTTGCTTCTTCCAATAAGAATTGCCTAGGATATATTCCTGTATATGTCTGCAATGATTGAGTTAATATATGCAAAGTACACAGAACACAGTAGGTGTTATGTAAGTATTTGGTATTGATATTGGAATGTTTGAAGCCAGGCATGGTGGTATATGCCTGTAACCTCAGCATTTGGGAGGCTGAGGCAGGAGGATCAAGAACTTGATGCCAGCCTGGGTTATAGGTCAAGGCCCTGTCTTGAACAAAACAAAATATCCTGATATTAGAATGCATACTTTGCCTGAATTAATGTCATCATAGGCCAATCTTGTGTGCTGATTTGACAGTTACTACAGAGGCAATGTTTGGTGATTAACCCCTAGAGCTGGCCACTGAGTTTGTCGCTGGGGATTAAGTGGTGAGAGTGGTCTGTGGACTTCTCCCCTCATAGAGCTTACACAGTCCAGCAGCAACCTCAACCCACACACCCAATACATTCTCTTGGAAAAGAGCCAGTTCTGAATTGTGAATACTCATTCTGGTTGAGTATGACCAGGGCACATGATTATCCTTAATACGTGTTTTCATTTATTGGGACCACTTACCTCCCATGAATACTTTTATAGTTCTGGACTCATAGTTAGGAGACTGATTTAAAATTTTATCATCTTTTCCACTAGCTATTCTGGGCTTTGGAACTG